CGGCCCGCAGCCCGGGGCTCCCCGCTGCCCCAACTCCCCGGCTCTGCTCTTGGCACCCGCTTGGGTTCTCATGCTCAGGAGCGAGGGGGGCTTTTGTTCCTCTCGCAGCTCTCCCCTGGCCTCCTGGAGACAAGCCGATCCTAAGGGTGGCCATGCAGGGGCTGCGGGAGGGCAGCCGCGGCTCCCCGAGTAAGAGGTGGTGGTCCTGGGAGGGCAGGGCTGGGGCAGGGTGTGGGAGGCCCACCTGGGAGAGCCCAGGGCCTTGCTTTCTTCACAACCACCTGCTTTATCCTTGGGCTCCTGTCTCAAGGGCACAGGGCATGACCAGGGGAGACGTGACTGGAGGTTGCTCTGAAGCAGGTGGTGCCAGGAGTCCAGTCCCAGCCCAGGCTCTCCGCCTCCTCCACCTCCATCACCAGTGCCCCCTAGCCTCAGTTCCAAGGTCATGGGCCCCAGTGAGGGCGGCGGCCAGAGCCCTACGTGAGGAATGACGCCTCAGGAAACTGATGACCCAGCTAAAGAGGGGACTTGGAACAGCCTGCTGGCGGTCACTGGGCACTGGCTTCCTGACAAGAGCAAAAGGGAACTGTGTGCTGGCAGAGGGGCATCCCCTTAGACCTGTGATCTGGGGTTGCATCCTGCTTTCTTTCTGTGTATCTTAAATGCCTGCTCTGGCCCTCTGGGTCATTTCCAAGTCATGTGACTTGTATCCTGGCAACGGGCTGTGGCTCTCATTCATGCCTAGCCCCAGCTTTCTTTCCCAGGAGGCTGCACACCACTGCCTCCCCCAACCCTACACTTGCCTCACCCCAGGGTACAGGTCTTCCCTCCCCTCTGCCAACCACCCCCATCCCCACCCAGGGCCTCTGGATCTTCCGTCTGCAACACAGGGAAAGGAGGCTCTGTACCTGGCCGAGTGCGGACCAAGACATTTCCATTCCCCAGGAGGCTTCTACAGCAGCAACATGAAAATAACCAAGAGCCACTGCTCCCCAAGAGCCACACATGGGCTCACGCGATAAGCGCTCGGAGCTTTGTTTATCATGGCCCAGGGCCTGTTGGTTTATCTTCCCAGGCAAGGGTTTTCCAAGGAAGGAGGGGTGGCTTTTAGCTGACATTGGGCTGGGTGGAAATGCAAACAATATTCCTGAGCTGGGATAACTGTATCAGGTCGTGGAAAAGGGGTCCAGGCTCTAAAAAAGCCACATCTGGAGGCTGCTAGGTCATCAGGGCCCTTTGGACCATGGCTGCGTGCTTTGAGTGGGGAAACCCTAGGGAGGGAAAATCAGCTCCCTGAGCTGGGCTTGCTGTCCTCAGAGGCGGCTCCTATAAAATGAAGGCAAGCAGCAGCAGCCGCAAGTTTCCACAGTGGGGCCCATTTTACGCAAGCCTGGTCACATCTGTCGTTGATTCCATCTCACCATTGTAGGTGGGAGGCAAAGGTTGGGTGCTGCTAGGTCACCTATTTATCTCTGACTCAAGGCCTAACCTGGTGGAAACAACCTCGATGTCCATCAGCTGGTGACTGGCAAACAAAAATGGTCTCCAATGGCATATTACTCAGCCATGAAAAGAAAGGAAACCCTGACACATGCTACAACACAGATGATTTAAAATATTATGCTAAGTGAAGGAAGCCAGACACATATGTACGATTTCATTTATATGATATGCCCAGAATAGGCAAATCCAGAGACAGTAAGTAGATGGGTGTTTTCCAGGGGATGGGAGAGGGGAGGAGGTGGTGAACGGCTGCTGATGGGCTGCTTTTGGCATGATGAAAATATTCCAGGATTAATGGTGATGTTTGCACAACACGGTGAATACAGTTGACCCTTGAACAACATGGGTTTGAACTGCTCAGGTCCACTTATGTGCAGAGTTTTTTCAATAAGTAGATTGGAAAATTTTTTGGAGATTTGTGACAATTTGAAAACACAGTTTCTTTTCTCTAGCTTTATTTTAAGAATACAGTATATAAAAAATACAGTATATAATATATGAAACATACAAAATATATGTTAATTCACTGTTTATGTTATCGGTAAGGCTCCAGTCAGCAGTAGGCTGTGTAGTTGAGTTTTGGGGAAGTCAAAAGATACACATGGATTTCAACTGTGCAGGGAGTCGGTACCCCTAACCCGTGTTGTTCAAGTGTGGATGCTAAAATCACGCAACTGCACACCTTATAATGGTGAAGTTTATGTTGTCATTATATCTCAATAACAATTTAAAAAATGTTAACACCCTCCCTCCCTGCGGGGTCAGTCAAGGCCTCTCACGTCTGCTTGGAGGGCTCACAGTCTGGAGGGAGAGGCCGTGTGTATCCAGCCAGGACTGGATCTCAGGTGGCTCGGCCAAGAGCCCCAGGGTTAGGGGAAAGGAAATGTGTACCAAACAGAGAAGTAAGAAATCAGCCCAAATGGCTACTCCCAGCACCAGGGGAAGCTGCAGGGCCGGGCTGGGCCGGCTGGGTGACCCGAGGTCAAGGGAAAGGAAGCACCAAGCCCCAGTGGCTGCAGGAGGCAGAGCAGGACGGCGGACCTGAGCAGTCAGGGCCCTGCACCGGCCCGCAGCCCGGGGCTCCCCGCTGCCCCAACTCCCCGGCTCTGCTCTTGGCACCCGCTTGGGTTCTCATGCTCAGGAGCGAGGGGGGCTTTTGTTCCTCTCGCAGCTCTCCCCTGGCCTCC